TGTGGCCCACAGCCCTCGAGGGCTCTCCGGCCGCCAGCGGTGCGTGGCGGGTCCGTGTGTGGCCGGGCAGAGCCGGTGGGATGGGGGGCAGAGGGTGGGGAAGGGGGGGGGGCAGTGCCAGGCAGGATCTGACCCCCCCTTGGACGGGCTCACCTGCAGCACGCCGCCGCCCAGCAGCGAGGCCAGCGCTGCCACCGTGATGCAGGCAGTGCCGTAGATCAGAGCTGTGGGGGATAGCGGGGGGTCAGGGGGGCGGCTGTGGCATGGCACGGCATGGCATGGCACAGCATGGCACAGTGCAGCATGGCACGGCACGGCACGGCACGGCACGGCACGGCATGGCATGGCATGGCACAGTGCAGCATGGCATGGTACAGCACGGCACGGCATGGCATGGCACGGCACGACACAGTACTGGGTCCCATGGCACGGCACAGCATGGCACAGTGCAGTGCAGCATGGCACAGCACGGTATGGCATGGCACAGCGTGGTGCAGCACGGCACAGTACAGGGTCCCGTGGCACGGCACAGCGTGGCACAGTGCAGTGCAGCGCAGCATTGCATGGCACAGCACAGAATGGCATGGCACAGCATGGCACAGCGTGGCATGGCGCATCGAAGTGTCACATAGCATGGTGTGGCACAGCACGGCATGGCATGGCACAGCACGGCATGGCACGGCACACCATGGCACATTGTTTTGCAGCATGGCACAACCCAGGACAGAGTGGCACGGCATGGCACAGTGCAGCACAGCATGGCACCCATGGTACGGCACAGCACTGCACAGCCCAGGATGGGGTGGCATGGATTGGCACGGCATGGCACGGCACGGCACAGCTCAGGATGGGGTGGCACGGATTGGCACGGCACGGCATGGCACGGCACAGCTCAGGGTGTCCCGGCCATGCGCCACCTCCCGTCCCCACTCACACAGCCCCTTGGACACCAGCGTCAGCCTCCGCGGTGACAGCGTGGGCATGCGCGGCTTCACCAGGTCCTCCACGGTGACAGCAGCCATGGCGTTGATGCTGGTGGAGGCCGTGCTGGAGAGGGGAGGGGGGCAGCGCTCAGCCCCCCACCACACCGGGGCTGGGGGGGCAGCACCGGGGCCACCCCTTCTGTAGGGACACCGCGGTCCCCAAGCGGCCTCACCTCAGGGTCCCGCTGTAGGCGCAGGCCAGGAACAGCCCCGGCACCCCTGGGGATGTCTGGAAGATGTCGAGGACCAGGTAGGGCATGTACTGGGGGGGCACAGGCGTGTCGGGGGGCGGCCGGGACCCCCGGTCCTCACCCACCCCTGCTGCTGTCCCCATCCCGGTCCCCTCCCCGGTTCCCTTCCCGCTTGGGTGCCCTCAGCCGGGTGCTCGAGGGGCCGGATCGGGCGCGCTCCTACCTGGTCCGGGGCCGAGATGAAGCCGGCCAGGAGGGGGTCGCAGTCCTTGTAGAGCGCAAACATCACAAGGCCACAGGCCACCGCGCTGGAGACGATGCAGAAGAGCCCCACTTGATTGACCAGCAGCGCTCTGCGGGCACGGCGAGAGATCACAGCACGGCCCGGCGGGGCTGGGGGGGGGCAACAGGACCCAGGAAGGGGGGGCAGGATTTGGGCAGGGGCCACACGAGGGTGCAGGGGCTGTGCGGGGTCGTTGGAGGAGCACAGGACCCATGTGGGGTCCACTCAAGGGCGCAGGGTGCAGGATCCGTGTGTGGGCTCCCCCCACCCCAAACGCAGCCCCTCGCCCCCCCCAAAAGCCGGGGGCTGTGCCCCGCAGCCCCCCCAGCCTCTCACATCCTCGCCTCCCTCTCGCTCCTGCAGGCCACGTAGCGCTGGACCTGCGCCTGGTTGACGCCGTACATGGAGAGCCAGAGCAGCGTGCCCCCCAGCACGAAGCTCCAGAAGGTGTAGCGGCTCCGCGGGGTCGGGGTTGAAGCTGGGCACAGCAGCGGGGGGGGGGCAAGGGTGAGCCGGGGCAGCCCGGGCACCCCAGCACCCAGGGGAAGGAGGGGTGTGGGGTGGGGGAACGGGGGGACTCACTCGCCAAAGTTCACCCTGGAGCCGTTGGCGGCGATGGCCAGGACCCTGGCGGGGCCCCCCACCAGCAGCAGCCCCCGGATGATGACGGCGATGAAGCCGGAGAGCATGACGAAGACCTGGAAGACGTCCGTCCAGATGACAGCCTTCATCCCGCCCTGCGCCCGAGGGACACCCAGTGAGCGCCTGGGACCTCCAGGGACCCCGTGGGACCCCCCGGGACCCCCGCTCCCCACGCACTATGGTGGTGTAGAAGGTGCAGATGACTCCGGTGGAGAGCACTGACGCCCAGATGTCCAAACCGGTCACTAAAGGAGAAACGAGGATGCTGAGCACCGTGAAAAACTTGGGGTGGGAAGGGGCCGAGCTGTCCCCCCCGTGGGGACAGGGACACGTGGATGCTGTCCCCATGCCCCCACCGTACCTTGGTTGAGGATCAGGGCGGGGGCGTAGATGACGATCCCCGTGTACAGCACCTGTGGGGATTTGGGGGGGACGGGGGGGGGGTCAGGGCCAGCACCCCACCCTGCGCCGGTGCCGGCTGTGCCCGCGGGGCCGGGGTCGCGGCGTGCCGGTGCCGCCCAGGCGCAGCGTGCGGGCGCTGGGCAAACACTCGGCTTTCCATTCCAAACAGGCTCCCCGCGGGGCTGCGCTCGCTCGGAGCCGCGGAAAACACGAGCACGGGAACGAGGGGGCTCCAGGGGACAAAAGCATCATCAGCACGGCTGCGACCCCGCATCCCCGTGCCCCCCGCACACCCCGTGTCCCCCCAAATCCCCCCGAGGGACGCACCGTGGCCGCAATGTACTGCACGGTGCCGCAGAGCCGCACGCGCCTGCTGAAGCGCCGCTCCAGGTACTGGGGACAAGGACGGGGACCGTGTCGGGGCCGCCCTCCGGGTCCCAAACCGAGGGGCGGGATGCGGCCCCCCGGCCCCCACCTCGTAGGTGCTGGTGAGCCCCAGGCGGTAGAAGACGGGCAGGAAGAGGTGGGCGGTGAGCAGGGTGTTGAGCAGCTGCCCCAGGCACATCCAGAGGAATTTGGAGCCGTAGCGGTACGCCTCGGCCGGCACCCCCAGCACCTGGACGGCCGACATGAAGCTGGCCGAGAGCGAGAGCCCCACCGGCACCGCCGCCATCCGCCGCCCCCCCGTGAAGAAATCCTCCGAGGTCTTCTGGCCGCCCTTGGAGAGGCCGTGGAAGAGCCCGATGCCCGTGGACACCAGCAGCATCAGCCCGAAGACCCCGTAGTCCCAGAGGCTGAAGGTGAGGGGCTCCGGCACCCACACCTCCAGGCTCTCCGACTGGGGCCAGCGTGGTGGCTGCAGGGGGGGGGGACAGCCCCCACCGGGCACCCGCAGGCACAGGGGGACGCAGAACGAGGATGGGGACGCGTGGCCGGGGCAGGGCACGGCGGTCCCGGTGCGTCCAGGAGCAGCCAAACTGCAGCGGGAGAAAACTTGGGGCAATTATCGAGGTTTAAGGCAAGCGTGAAGCACAGCGTGACCGCGGCCCCGACCCCATCCCCATCCTGGTGAGGGCTGCGCAAAGGGGTCAGCCCAAAATCAGAGCAAGGAGAGCACCCCAAATTCCTCCTGAGTACCCCAAATACCTCCTGAGCACCCCAAATTCCTCCTGAGCACCCCGAATATCTCCTGAGTACCCCAAATACCTCCTGAGCACCCCGAATATCTCCTGAGTACCCCAAATACCTCCTGAGCTGTGGCACACAGGGGGATGAGCGCGGATCTCTCCGGTCCTGCCCGTGCCGGAGCGAGTCGGCCGCGCGTCCTGCACCCGAAGGACGCGGCCAGGACGGAGCAATCCCCCCAACCCAGCGCAAACAGGAGGAGGGGCTTTGCCCGAGCACCAGTTATCTCCAGACGGGGACAAAACAAACCCAAGCGAAACCTTTACCCAGCAAAAGCACCTTCCTCGCCGGCTGCTCCCCCAAGGACTTGGCCAGGAGCAGGGCTGAGCGCCGAGGCTGCCGCGGGCTCGCCGGGCGCTGCTGTGCCGGAGGGGCGAGGGGCTGGCCACGGGGCCAGGCAGGAGGCAGGATTAGGCACCGGGGAGGGACGTGGAGCCGGAGGGGGCCGTGGTGATAACCCCTTCCCTGCCACCCAGCCAGGTCCCGGCGTGCAGGATCCGGCCCCGAGTCCAAGGCCAAGCGCTGGTGGCCTGAGTGTGGGGACCAGGGGGTGGCTCTGCCCGCTGGGGTGCGGGGACACCGCGGCGTCTGGTTCAGCTTCCTCGTTCCCAGGCACAAGCACTGCTTTGTCCCATCCCAGACGGGTTGTCCCCACACCTGAAACAGCGGGGCTGTGACCCAGGAAGAGCCCCAGCCTTGGGGACAGAGCCAGGACCAGAAAAAAGTCCCCTCCAAGGAGCGGCTCAGTGCCGTGACGGGGCAGTTCCTCGTGCCCTGGCACGGCGCAGGGTCCCTGGTCCCCAGGGTCTGGCTGCAGTGACAAAACATCCCCGGTGGCTTTGTCCCCGGGGGGCAGGACCCTGCTCCCTGCTGTGCTTTTTGAGCAGCAGAAAGGGGAAAAAAAAAAACGATGACGGGCGGCTGCTGGATCCCCCACATCCGCCGGCGGCTGCGTGCGGAGCCGCACGGCACCGGGGCTGGGCACCCGGGGGCAGCTGCCAAAAGGAGGGGGGCTGAGACCACCCGGGGGGGCTGCGAGCAGGGCAGGGGGAGCGCAAGGTGCATGGGGACAGCACCTCGGTCAGGGGGGGCTGCATGGGACAGGACAGGGGGCAGGATGCTCAGCACCCATCCCTGCGGCACCACGGCACCGGGTGGGATCAGCGGGGTGCCCCCAGCCAAGCAGGGTGCCCCTCTCCTGCCCCTGGGCTCCTTTGGGTGGCTCCTCGAGGCCCCCCACCCCTCTCCCCCTCCCTCGTCAGGAAGTCCCTGGCTGCTCAGAGCCGCTGTGGGCAGGAAGGAAGTCACCAAGGGGACTTTTTGACTCTCCTTCTTCGCTCGCAGCCACCTACGCAGCCCAGAAAACCCAGCCCTGCCCAGTCCCGGGGCCGGAACACGCAGTGCCTGCGAGGCCACCGGCACGGTGCAGGTACCTCGGGGCACTGGGATGGCACAGGGGGGTTATCGGGGGCTGGGCAACCCACCTGGGCATGGGATGGAGCCGCATCCTCCTCACGGTGGCCCACACCTGGGGGCGAGTGCCCATCCCTGGGCGGAGTGGCTGTGGGGAGGGCTGGGGCCGTGCGCATGCCCTAAAACAAAACATCAACCTGCCTCAGTTTCCCCACCTGCACCCCAAGTGCGGGGCGGCGGGCAGCTGGTCCCAGCCCTAGGGATGCTGCGGGGTTTAACCCCAGGGAGAGGAGGATCCCAAAGGTCTCATCGGGGCCCCCCCTTTGTCCTTGCAGCGCCTGCCATGGCCCCGCTGGGCGAGGAGACCCCGCTGATCGGGGAGCGCTCCTGCAGCCTCTCCTCCACCGAGCCTGGCACGCTGCAGGTGTACCTCTACCACCGGGCACCCACCCCCCGCGCCCCCCCTGACTCCGCCGGCGTCCTCACCTTCACCTTCGGCGAGTACACGGCCGAGGAGCTCTGCGTCCACGCCGCCAAAGCCTGCGGTGAGCACCGGCCCCGTGCCCTCCAGCCTGGCACCGTCCCCGTGCGGTCACGGCCCCAGGGGACAGCTCCGCTCTGCCCGTCCCCAGGCGTGCTGCCCGTCTGCCACCCCCTCTTCGCCCTGGCCACCGAGGACCTGAGCTGCTGGTACCCCCCCAACCACCTCTTCACCGTCGAGGACGCCCGCAGCCAGGTCGTGGTGTATAGGATCAGGTAGGGTCTGCGGGGACGCGGCCCCCTGGGGACTCTGCTGGCTGATAGGGGCTGTGCCATGCAGGACACGGTCCTGAGCCCTGCCCCTCGTCCCCACCAGGTTCTTCTTCCCCAACTGGTGTGGACTGGGGCAGTCGCATCGCTTCCAGTTGCTGAATGACCGCGCCAGCCCCGTGCTGGATTACCCCGTCATCGATTACCTTTTCGCCCAGGTGAGCCCGTGCCGGCGTCCCCATCCCCATCCAGAGCCAGAACGCGGGGCAGGATGTGACACCCGGGCACGGAGCTGGAGGGGGGCACCTCTGGGGCAGCCCTGCACAATGTTGGGGTCAGCAGGAGACACATTGATGCTCCCTTTAGTTGGGGGGGGGCACACAAATCACCTGCCACAGCCTTATGCATGGTCCGAGGGTCTTGGGGCGCATGGACTCTGTGCTGGCTGCAGCCCCCAGTGCGTGGCCGGGGCTGGCAGGGAGCAGGGGGCGATCAGGGGGCTCACAGGGGGGCTCCCACCGAGCTGCTGCCCCGTCCCCAGTCCCGCAGCGACTTCATCGGGGGCCGCGTGGAGGTGGCGCTGAGCCTGCCGAGGCAGGAGCAGTGCCTGAGCCTGGCCGTGCTGGACATGCTGCGCATCGCCAAGGAGAAGCGGCAGAGCCCCGACGAGGTCTTCAACTGCGTCAGGTGAGCGGGGACCACGGGGCCGGGGACGATCCGGGAGGGGGTTCCCCTGACCTAACCCATCGCCTCCCCACTTTTCCCAGCTACAAGTCGTGCATCCCGGAGCCGCTGCGGTGCCAGATCCAGCAGCACAGCTTCCTCACCCGCAAGCGCATCCGCCGCCGCTTCAGCAAGTCCCTGCGCAGGATCGGCGGCTGCCAGGCGGACGGGCGCCACCTGAAGCTCAAATACCTGCTGGACCTGGAGCGGCTGCAGCGGCGCTGGGCCGAGGAGAGCTTCGCCGTGCGCGGCCCCGACGCCAACATCACCATCCACGTGGCCGGCGAGAACGGCGTCTCCTGGAGCAGCGGCAGCCCCGAGGTGTTTTTGGGGGTGGGGGGTTTTGGGGGGAAGGGTCTGGTTTTGGGGTGAGGGAAGGGGGATGCAGAGGTAGCCCGCCTGGTGTCCCCGCAGAGCCGCCAGCACTTTTGTGACTTCCCCGACATCGCCGACTGTCAGCATCAAGCAGGCGAGCCGGGACGGCAGCCCCGTGGAGAACCGCATCGTCACCCTCACCAAGACGGACAACCGGGTGCTGGTGAGCTGGGGAGGGGGCACGGGGGGGGTGGACAATGACACGGAGGGGGGTGTTAGGAAGGGGCTCACCTTCCCCCTGTCCCTAGGAGGTGGAGTTCCCCACGCTGCAGGAAGCCCACAGCTTCGTGGCGCTCATCGACGGCTACTACCGCCTGACGGCGGACTGCCCACCACTACTTCTGCAAGGAGGTGGCCCCCCCCCGCCTGCTGGAGGACGTGGAGAACCAGTGCCACGGGCCCATCAGGTGGGTGCTGCCCGCCCCCAGCCCACGGGTGACGGGGCTCAAAGAGGGAGGGAATTATTTAGGGGAGGAGGCACGAGGCTGCTGGGCACCGCTCCGCATCCTGGGGGTGCTCGGGTGCGCACCAGGCTCGGAGAGCTCCTGGGCACGGGGGGGGGCACATCCTTTTCAGAGCCCCCACCCTGCTTTTTACAGCTCCGAATTCGCCGTGAACAAGCTGAAGGCAGCGGGGGGCCACCCGGGGCTGTTCCTGCTGCGCCGCAGCCCCCAGGACTTTGACAGCTACCTGCTGACCGTGTGCGCCGAGGTGAGACCCCCGCACCAGGCACCGGCACCGCGCACGCCCCCCGGCCCCCCAGCACCCACATCCAGCAACGTGGGCAGGGGAACCCGGTGCCGGCGGGGTCGGTGCCACCAGGAAAACCCGGTGCCGGTGGGGACGGTGCCACTGGTGGTGGCCCTTTGGGACGGGCATGTCCCCGGGGGTCCCCGTGCCGCTGAGCCCGGCTCTCGCCCCGCAGACGCGCTCCGGGCAGGACTACAAACGCTGCCTGATCCGCAGGGACTGAGGACTGGGAACTTCTGGCTGTCGGGGCTGGCGCGGCGCTTCTGCAGCCTGCGGGAGCTGCTGGGCACCTATGGGTGCTGCGGGCTGCAGGCCGAGGGCGCCCGCCTGCGCCTGGCCACGTGCTGCCCGCCCCTGCCCAAAGGTGACGGCGCCGGCGCCGCGGTGAGGTGGAGGGGGGGACCCGGTGTGACGTCACACATCGCCCCGTGACTGTCATAAAACATGCCGTGTGATGTCACGGAAGGGGCTGGGTGATGTCACAGAGGGGCTGGGTGGTGTCACAGAGGGGCTGGGTGGTGTCACAGTGGGGGGGTTGTATGGGATCGGAGAGCGGGGCTGTGTGACCTCATAAAACGAGCAGAGAGGGGTTGTGATGTCACAGAGTGAATTGTGTGATGTCACAGGGGGCAGTGTGACGTCACAGCAGCCCCTCACGGCCCTCCCCACCCCCCCCCCAGAGAAGTCCAACCTGCTGATTGTGCGGAGCAGCTGCCCCCGGCCCCCCAGCTCCCCCTCAGCCCCACGCCGCAGCCCCAACCAGATGACCTTCCACAAGATCGACCCCGAGAGCCTCACGCGGGTACGGCGGGACGGGGGGGGGGGGGGCTCGGGGGTTTTAGGGGCACAGGGGGGGGGGCCGTCCCCATCCAGCACCCCCTCTCGTGGCAGGGCGAGAGCCTGGCCCAGGGCTCCTTCACCCACATCTACAAGGGCGTGAAGCAGGACCAGAAGGAGGACGAGTTCTACCAGACCGAGGTGGTGCTCAAGGTGATGGACAGCAGCCACCGCAACTGCTCTGAGGTGAGGCAGGGGGGGGACACCCCCTGCGCCAGCCCAACCGCCCCCCCACCACCCCTCCTGAGCCATCCTCCCCTTCCCAGTCCTTCCTGGAGGCCGCCAGCATCATGAGCCAGCTGTCCCACAAGCACCTGGTCCTGCTGCACGGGGTCAGCCTCGGGAAGGAGAGTGAGTGCCCCGCGTCCCCCTCCTGTGCCGGCACCCGTGGCCGGGCACCCGTGGGACCCGGTGGCTCCGTCCTCCCGCAGGTATCATGGTGCAGGAGTACGTCAGGCACGGGCCCCTCGACCTCTACCTGAAGAAAAATCACGGCGAGAGCAAGGTGACCACGAGCTGGAAGCTGCAGGTGGCCAAGCAGCTGGCGTACGCCCTCAACTACCTGGTGAGCTGGTGGCGGCACCCCGCGCCCCCACGCGTCCCCACCTACCTGTGTCCCACAGCTCCCATAGATCCATATCCCACGGGTCCCATATGTCCACATCCCACAGCTCCCACATATCCACATCCCATGGGTCCCACATGTCCACATCCCACGGGTCCCATATATCCATATACCACAGCTCCCATATATCCTTATCCCATGGCTCCCATATGTCCACATCCCATGGGTCCCATATATCCACATCCCATGGGTCCCATATATCCATGTCCCATGGGTCCCATATATCCATGTCCCATGGGTCCCATATATCCACATCCCATGGGTCCCATATATCCATATCCCATGGGTCCCATATATCCATATCCCACAGCTCCCATATTTCCATAACCCAAAGCTCCCATCCATCTACATCCCAAAGCTCCTACCCACCCATATCCCACAGCTCCCATACATCCACATCCCATGGCTCCCACATATCCACATCCCACAGCTCCCCTATATCCAGATCCCACGGGTCCCACATATCCACATCCCATGGCTCCCACATATCCATATCCCACAGCTCCCACATAGCTATATCCCAAAGCTCCCCTATATCCACATCCCATGGCTCCCCTATATCCACATCCCACAGCCCCCACCCATCCACACCTCACACCCCCCAGCCCCAAGCCCAGCAGCCCCTATGCAGAGCATTTCGGGGGTCTCCCCCCCTGCTGGTGCCACGCCGGGGGTGCGCTGAGGGTCCCTCTCCCCCCCCCAGGAGGACAAAAGGATCACCCACGGCAACGTCTCCGCCAAGAAGGTGCTGCTGACCCGGGAGGGGGACGTGGCCAGCGGCAGCCCCCCCTTCATCAAGCTCAACGACCCCGGTGTCAGCGTCACCGTCCTGGCCAAGGACTGTAAGTGCCCGCGCAGCCCCCAAGTGCCACGGGACCCCCCCCCCGGTGGGTGCTGAGCTGGGGCTGTTCCCTCTCCCCAGTGCTGGTGGAGCGCATCCCCTGGGTGGCCCCCGAGTGCCTGAGCGACCCCAAGGGCCTGGCACTCCCGGCTGACAAATGGGGCTTCGGGGCGACCCTGTGGGAGATCTTCAGCGGTGGCAACATGCCCGTCAGCCTGCTGGAGCCGCAGAAGGTGAGGCTGCCCCGTCCTGCTGCCACCCTGTCCCTCGGTGACCCCATCCCTCGGTGACCCCGTCCCTCGGTGACCCCATCACTTGGTGACCCCACCCCTTGGTAACCCCATCCCTCAGTGACCCCATCCCTCAATGACCCCATCCCTTGGTGACCCCGTCCCTCGGTGACGCCATCCCTCAGTGACCCCATCGCTCTGTGACCCATCCCATTGCGACCCCATCCCTGGTGACCCCGTCCCACTGCGACCCCATCCCATTGTGACCCCGTCCCTCGGTGACCCCATCCCTCGGTGACCCCATCCCTCGGTGACCCCATCCTGCTGCCAGTCCCCCCACGGGTCCCCGAGGGATTTCCCTGCTGGCTCTGCTGGCCCACCAACCCGCTCACCCTGGAAAAAGGGGGGAGATGGATGCCCAAAAAAAAAAGAACCAGGGTTTTGGAGCCCCCCTCCCCAGCTCCGGTGCAAGGTGGTGGTGGCGGCAGGGTCCTGGCGGTGCCCCCCCCGCTGTTATCTCCATCCAGCAGCCTGCGGGTGCTGCTCGGGGTGCTCAGCCCCCCCCTCTGTGCACCCGCAGAAGCTGCACTTCTACCAGAGCCGCCTCCAGCTGCCCGCACCCAAGTGGACCGAGCTGGCCACGCTGATCGCGCAGTGCATGGACTACGAGCCCCGTGCCCGGCCCTGCTTCCGCGCCCTCATCCGGGACCTCAACAGCCTCATCACCTCCGGTGAGCACGGGGAGGGGGGCACGGGGACGGACCCCGACCCCCAGCGGTCCCCCCGTTGTCTCACCGCCCCCCTAACCCCCCCCCAGACTACGAGCTGCTCTCGGACCCGTCGCCCGCCGACGTGACGCTGCGGGACAGCTTCTGGGGGTACGAGCACGTGGCCGTGGGGCAGGACCCCACACTCTTTGAGGAGCGGCACCTCAAGTACATCTCGCTGCTGGGCAAGGTGAGGGCAGAGCGGTGACAGCGGGGTCCTGGGTGTCCCCTCTGAGCTGGGCGCAAAATGTTGCTCGGGGAGGGGGAAAAAGCTTGGTTGGTGCCCACCTCGTCTGTATCTGCTTGTCCTGGGGGTGGCCAAGCATTGGGGACAAGGTGGAGGGCTCGGGGGGCACCCCTGGGGGTCCCTGACCCCCTGCCCAACCAGGGTAATTTTGGGAGCGTGGAGCTGTGCCGCTACGACCCGCTGGGCGACAGCACGGGCGAGCTGGTGGCGGTGAAGAAGCTGCAGCAGGACTCGGCCAAGGAGCTGCAGGACTTCGAGAGGGAGATCCAGATCCTGCACTCGCTGCAGCACGACTTCATCGTCAAGTACCGCGGCGTCTGCTACAGCCGGGGTGAGCGCGGGGTTAGGATTGTCCCTGGAGGGTGAGGGGGGAGGGACACAGAGGGGGTCCTGGGTGCCCCCCCAGGGTGTCCGTAACGGCTGCGGGTGCGCAGGGCGGCGCGGGCTGCGGCTGGTGATGGAGTACCTGCCCAACGGCTGCCTGCGGGACTACCTGCAGAAGAACCAGCACCGCCTGGAGCACAGGAGCCTGCTGCTCTACGCCTGGCAGATCTGCAAGGTGGGACCGTGCCCTGTGCCCCCCCCACCCCCCCCCCTGTCACCATGGGGGCACGGCGGCAAAGGGGCTCCCCCGTGGGGTCTGCGTGCGTGCGCGTGCGCGCGTCTGGGGAGGTCGGGATGGGGGCAGAGCGGTGCCACCGCTCACCCTGGGGGGCACAGCCTGGGTGGTGGTGGTGAGGGGCTGCGACCCCCCCCCCTCTTGCAGGGCATGGAGTACCTGGGGGCGCAGCGCTGCGTGCACCGCGACCTGGCCACCAGGAACATCCTGGTGGAGAGCGAGACCCACGTCAAGATCGGCGACTTCGGGCTGGCCAAGCTGCTGCCGCAGGACAAGGAGTACTATGTGGTGCAGGAGCCCGGCCAGAGCCCTGTCTTCTGGTGAGGGCAGCGTGGTGCTGGGGGGGCTGGGGGGGTGGGGGGCAGCAGCAGGACCCGGTGCTCAGCACCCTCCCACCGGCAGGTATGCGCCCGAGTCCCTGGCTGACAACGTCTTCTCCCGAGCATCCGACATCTGGAGCTTCGGGGTGCTCCTCTACGAGCTCTTCACCTACAGCAACAAGAGCAGGAGCCCCTCGGAGGTGAGACAGACAACTTCCCCCCCCTCGGCCCCCTGTGTCCCGGCTGCTGCCTCCCCGAGTTTATGGCACCCCCGTGCCCCCCCCAGGAGTTCCTCCGCATGATGGGCACGGAGAAGGCGGTGCAGATCATCTGCCACTTGCTGGAGCTGCTGAAGGACAACAGACGGCTCCCGGCACCAGCCGGCTGCCCCGTGGAGGTGAGACCCCCCCCCTCCAAAACACGGTGGGGGTCCCAGGGTAACCCCTGCACCCGTGACACCCCCGTCCTTGTCCCCAGGTCTACTGCGCTGATGCTGAGCTGCTGGGCTTTCTACCCCGGCACCAGACCCACCTTCAGCGAGCTGGCGCCCAAAATCGAGGCGCTGCGGGACGGCCGCAGCAAAGCCCGTGGGTAGCTGGTGCCAGGACCCCCAGAAACGGCGTTCTGGGGGCCCTGCTGCAGCCCCCCGAGCCCCCCAGCCCTCCTCCCCTCCCCAGCACGATGCGCAGACGGACAGACACACGGACGCAGCGATGCTTCGACTGGGGCTTTAATGGCTGCGGTGCCGCCGCTTGGCATTCACCTCCTGCCTCTCCCCGCGCCCAGCGCAGCAGGATTTGGTCCGTTTCTAATAAATTTGGGTAAATCTGGAAGCTGTCGAGAAGAGCCCACATGGGGGGGATGCAGAGGAAGAGGGGACGTGCGCCCACGTCCCCCCCCCGTACAGCAGCGAGCTCAACCCTCTGACGAGCCACCAGAGACTCCCCTGGGCGCGGGCGCTAGCAGAAGGGCAGCAGCTCCTGCTGGGTGCAGCCACGGGAGCAGCAGGAGCCAGCGGGGCCGGGGGGGGCCAGGCTGGGGGGGCCGTGGCCATCGAGGCGCCCAAAGAAGTCGGCTGGAAGAGAGCGGGGAGGGGTGAGGCACCCGCGGGGGCGCTCCCAATTATTTTGGGTGTCCCCGTGCCTGGGGAGGGGTCCCCGCGCTCAGCACTCACCCAAGGCTGCCCGGGGGGGGCGGCTCCAGCGGGTGCCCCCGCACAGGGCCACGAGGGTGCGGACGAACTCGCGCCCACACAGCCTCAGCGCCGGCTCCTCGGTGGCACCTGGGGGTGGCTGCCAGCAGGGCGAGGGCCGCCAGCACCCAGCGGCGCATGGCACGCGGCGGCACGGCACCACCGCGGGCTGGCACGGGGGTGGCTGCGCCCACGGCACCGCCGCTTATATCCCCTCCCACGGCCCTGAGCCAAAAACACGTGCGTGGCGCAGCCATCTGTGGCTCAGCACGGCTCGGCACGGGCTGTTCCCGGGGCTGAGCACCCCACCAGGGCCAGGGCTGCCCCCCCCGAGGTTATCGCCGACCTTGCAGCCGCAGCGGTTCTGGGAACGGAGCAGGGAGCTCAGGGACATCGGGGCTGTGCTCGCCCTCCATGGTGAGCAGACACCCCCTCGCCTGCCCCTCATCCCCTGTAAGTGCTCAGCCTGCTGGGGACCCCTACCCCAAGCCCATGCGCCCCCCAAGGCTGACCCCGTCCTACCCATACCCCCCCCCGCCAGCCTCGCCGGCGCAATGGGGCACGTGTTTCCCCTGCCCTAGGAAGGCACCAGACCCTGCGCCCTCGTTTCCAAAATTTGCTCCTTTATTCTCCCACGGGTTCTTTGGAGCTCACCTGGCCAAAACAGGGCAGGTTTTGGGGCAAAACCAGGCAGAATCCAGCCAGGAGCAGGATGAGCCCCGATGGCACTCGGCACCGCCTTGGGCCAGCCCCACATCAGCGTTCCTCGGACCCCTCGCTCAGGGCGGTGGCATCGAGCAGCAGCAGCACCACCACGTCCTGGTGCCCCCCGGACACCGAGCACCCTAGAAGAAGCTCACCTTCCTCCCGCAGCTCAGCTGGGGCTCGTGGATGGCCTGCCACATGGCCGCTGTCTCGTAGGCCACGAAGCGGTGCACCACCAGCAGCTCCCGGTAGTAGCAGGGGTCGAAGGCGTCGCTGTTGCGGGGGGCGTAGATGCCCCAGATCCGGACGCCGTCGTGGGGAGCCGGGCGCAACCCCGCCTGCTCCAGGCACATGCCCAGGTAGGCGTCATCGATGGGGACCAGCTCGATGCTTTGGGACTCGCGGTGGATGACGCGGGCGGTGTAGCCGGACATGAGCATCCCGCCACCGCTGCAGTAGGGCGGGTACCTCTCCGAGGGAATCACCTGCTTGGGCACGTAGTACTTGCTGCCCTTATCCCGGATGGGCCCCGTGTTGATTAGGACGGAGCCCACCATCAGGTGCTGGCTGCCCCGGGAGGTCTTCATGAAGCGCACCACGTTGTCCGTGTTGACGAAGACGTCGTCGTCCCCGTTGAAGACGAAGTGGACGCCGGGGCAGTGCTCCTCCAGCCAGGCGTGGAAGAGCACCTGCTTGAGCGTCAGGTTGAAGAAGGTGTCCCTGAAATCCCACTGCAGCACGTCCCGGTGCTCCCGCTGCTCCAGGTGCAGCAGCCAACCTGAGCTTTCCTGGCGTCGCGAGCAGTTGGGGGACACCCCCAGGAGGAAAACCCTGCGGATGTGCGCCCCTTCGAAGGTCCTCTGCTGCCCCCACGTCCTGCGGATCACCTCCCGCCGCTCGTAGTTGGCCGGCGAGGACTTGATGGCCAGGAGCAGGGAGATGCTGGAGGAGCCCCGGGGCCCCCCGCACTTGCCGGGGACGTCGAGGAGCTGGCGGAAGGAGCGGCAGTGCCGGTACCTCATGAAGTCCTTGATGTGCTGGGGCAGCTCCTCGAAGCCGGAGATGTTGTGCACCGAGCTGTTGGCCACGCAGGGGGCGGCGGTGGGCAGGGAGGGGGCCGGGGGAGAGGCTGGGGGCCGGAGGGGTTGCGGTGGGGCTGGGGGGGACGGTGCCGAACCCCAAGCGTTTGGTGGGGTCCAGCAGGAAGCAGAGCCCCAGGGCCCCGATGGCCACCAAGCCCAGCTTCTCCATCCTGCAGCACCGCTGGGGAAGGGTCTGCAAGAGACAGGGAGCGGGGCTCGGGGGGGAGGACGGCTGCCCCCACAGCCCCTGCTGCCCCCTCCACGATGCCCACGGGTTCCCCACCGGGGCCGAGTGCCCCAGTGGCTGGGAAGGGACCCAGGGGCTCCCCGGTGCCGATGATGACGGCGGAGGCTGAAGGCTCCCTGCGTGTTCCCAGCCCCGTGGAGCCCTTTGTGGGCTCCTGGGGGGGGACTTCAGGGTGTCCCCGTGTCCCCACCACCCTCCCAGAGCCCACACTGGCACCCCAGGGCCCTGCAGACTGGGGCAACGTCTCCACCCCCTCCAGTGTCTCCGGGAAGAGGAGGAGGCTCAGGCGCTGTGTCCCTCTCCACCCTGCCAGCCACGTAGCAGGATAATTCAGCTTTTCTCTTCCTCTTCACCTTGTTTTATGCCTTTTTGGTCTCAAGTCCACTTCCTCCTCTGTGCCAAGACAAAAGGGATCCCGCCCGGGGAGAGGCAGCCTGCCCTCGCTCCATGCCTAGGGCACAGCAGCCTTGGCCAAGGTCTTGGGCACTGGTCCCAGCCGGGGGACACGGGCTCGCTGCCCCAAGGGCCGGGCACGGCCGGGAGCCACACTGGCAGCGGGCAGGGGGGTACCCAAAGGAGTCCCCCCCCCCAGCTGGAGGTGGTGGTGGGGTGGGCTCGGTTACACGAAGCCCACCCGGGGCTTGCTGTGAGCAGCGCTGGCCCCCAGGGACAAAGCACGGGGGCAGGGGGGCAGCACGGGGACCCCAAGGCACCACGGGGACCCCAAGGCACCAAGGGGACCCCAGGGTGCTTCTCCCCCACCCCACACAACCTGGGTGCCAGGGGCAGGATCCGGCCAGCCCCATCCCGGCACCCAGTTCGGACCCCCCCCCAGGGCACCTCAAAGAGCTGCGAGTCCCCCCCAAAACCCCCCTAAGCCCCCCGGTACCTTCCCACAGAGCCAGCCCTGAGCCATCCTGGTGCCTCCCGGGAGCGTTAGGGTGCAAACACCCCGTTGGCAGCGATCCTCCCCCTGCCCGGTGCCACCCTCCCTGTCTGCCCGCCCGCCGCAGGTGGGGCAGCAGCACCCATGGGTGCAGGAGGAAGCTCAGGCCTCAGCTCTCCCCCCCCCACCCAGCGCTGGAGCCCCCAAGAAGAGGGGCTCAGGACCCCAGCCCCGTACCCCGAGGAGCAGCCCGGGGGCTCCGGGGATGGGCGATGCCGTGGCGTGGCACAGGTAAGAGCCAGGGATTAGAAAATAAAGTGTTTAATAAAAGAGCAGCTCCTGCTCCCTTCACAGCACGGGGGGGGGGGGCGGCAGGGTCCATCCGCCGGGCAGCAGGAGACGACGCGGGTACAGCCATGGGGGGGGGGGAGGAGGAAGAAGAGGAGGAAGAGGAGGAAGAAGAGGGGGGCACCCCCTCCCCGCCAGCCTCCATCCAGTGTTTTGAGTTCACACAACCAAGGGGGGAGCCCCTGGGGGGGGGGGGCTCGGAGGCTCCAGTGGGAGGCAGCTCAGGACCCCGCCAGGTAGATCCCTGCAGGGAGAGGCAGTGAGGGGGGAGGATGCAAGGATGGGGGGGGCACGAACCCACCAGGGGGCACCTGCCTGAGAAGGGGGGGGGGAGGACGGAGCTCAGGGGGGCAGGGAGGGGACTTTGGGCACCCTGGGGAAGGGACCCCGTGCACCCCGGGGCTGTAGGGGATGGGGGATGGGGAAGAGACCCCATGCACCTTGGGGCTGTTGGGGACAGGGAAGGGACCCTGTAAGGGAACAGGGAAGGGATCCCGTGCACCCTAGGACAATAGGGTACAAGGAAGGGACCCCGTGCACCCCAGGACTATAGGGGATGAGGAAATGACCCCATGCACCTCGGGGCTATAGGGGACAGGGAAGGGACCCCGTGCACCCTATGGGGCGGGGAAGGGACCCCCCCTACATGCAGGACAAGGCAAGGAACCCGTGCTTATGGGGTCCGGGCGGCCGTACCCGTAGCAAACCTCTTCTTGACCAGCGACATGCGGTAACCGGCGCTCGCCAGCTCCACCTCGACGCCCGACAGCGTGCTGCCCTCGCTGCTGAACTGGGCCGCCACGGGACTGGGCTTACTGGGCCCGCACAGGGGCTCCCAGCTGGCCGAGAGCGCCGGCCGCTGCCTGGGGGGGGGACAGAGCAGGAGGTGGGGGACCTGACCCCATGCCCACAAAGGGGGGACGAGATTGGGGCAGCCCAGCAAGGGGCTGGATCCAGACCCCGTAAGCAGGGGGGGGCGCAGCCTCACCTCCCTGCCCCGGCGCACCGGGGACGTCCAGCAGCTTCCAGAGCAGCCTCTTCTCCTCCAGGTTCCTGCCGGGACACGGCCCCGAGTCCCCGACCACCCCGCTCCATCCCCACACGTCCCCACAGCCCCCACCACCCCCACCCACATCCCAACCCCCGTCCTCCCCACCCTGTGGTTAGCAGGGGGGTTCCCTGTGTCCCCCCCCCCAAACCCCTTACCAGCTGGCAGCCGGCTGCAGCCGCACGTTGGTGACGGGCTCGTCCAGGGGCAGCAGGACGTGGACGTTGGCGAGGGGCACGGGCAGGGCGAGGGCGCCGGCGTTGTAGCCGTAATCCACGCTGACCCGCGTGGCGCCGGCGAGCAGTCCCAGCGCACGCACAGCCGCAGCGGTGCCGAGCTGGGACCCAGCCTCGAGAACTATTGGGACAAAACGGGGTCAGGGGGGGTCAGGAAGGGTGGCGGGACCCAGCGTCGGGGTGCTGGATCGCCCGGTT